GTGTACATGTGATGTGCAGCAGGGGGTTAGGTTACGTCAGTACTTCTGAAATAGTGGGACGGGCCAGGAGAGGCAGAAGGGGAGGAGAGAGAGCTCATTCAAAGATTCACCTACACATGTACGTGCGTATCCCACGTCACTGAACTGAGTGCAGCTATTTATAAAGGGGCAGAAAAGTATAGGCTGAATCACTGTGCTGGGCTTTAGAAAGGCGCAGGGTGAAAATAGCTTGTTTGTACCCAGAAAAACGCCAAATAGCCTAATAAAAGCTCGACGGAGGAAAAGGACAAATAAAGACAGAAGTGTTTCAGATAAATTCAGAGTTTTGGTATTCACATGACAGCTACTTGTCACAATAATTGGTGGCTCTGTTTCACACGCGGGCGATGGATTTCAGGAGCGGCGTCGTCTTCTCTTTGTGCCAAGATCACAGTATCTGCTCTAACTGGCAAAATCAGCCTCTGTGTGGTCCGTCCAACGGTACTCAAAGGCACCAACAAATATTATCTTTTATAATGAGATCATTAATCTTACAGCCTCGCGTCTCTCCCGACGCAGCTATAAAACCAAACGAGACCGTGGAAGTAAACACCTGAGGCAGACACTTATTGTCCTCTGCGGTCAAAAGGTGTTTGTCCATGAGGAGAGCGGACGTCGTGATGTTTATACCGGCTGATGAATCACTGCAGTCAGTCTGAGAAACAGCTGTCTACTTTGAATGACGAAAAAGAAAATGTTTGGTGCAGCACACTCAGGGGCTTTCTGATACACCTAATATTTCATCCACGCGTATTTTCTCAAATGAGTGAATACCTCCAGGGAGACGGTAGTCGTGCGTAATTCCATCTGTTGAACTCCAAACGGTGTCGTTGAGATTTAGGGGAGACCCTTTTTGCGTAGACCTGTGTGTCAGGCTTGTGTCGGCGTTTGTGTAGTAAGAAACTGCTTGAAATGATACTTACTTTAAACGACAAAAGTGCCCTTTCTCGGTGTGTCACGCCACGGTACAGAGGAAGAAAAATACCCGTGGGATGATGCTTCCTCCCGCACAGGTCACATTTATCCCGACACTGTTGTGTGGCTTATATATGCAGCAAACTTTTTACAATTAAAGGGTTTCCTTTGATGCCTTTGATACTGCTTCGCCCGTGGTTTGAATGAGAATCGCTTATAATTCGATGCCAACAGTCACGACTTGTAAACCTTTCATTTCTGCTCTTTGTCTCCCCCTGTCTTCATCAAGGTTATTAAGGTCACTGCAATCCTTAAAGGTATAGAACGTCTTTGAACAAAAACTCCATACAATAATAAAAAAATAAATAAACTGCTCTGGGACTTCATGGGAACAAAGGACTTACTGTTACTGTGTGACTTCCGGTAGGAAGCTAATGCTTGAATACTAAAAAAAAAACACTGGAACAATGCTAAAAAGTCTAAGAATGTGGTCCTCTCTCTAATAGGCAAAAATACTACAAACCCAAATACCCATATAACAACATTGTAAATCTTTGACATGGAAGAAGACCTCTTCAACAATGTAGTTCATTTGAGAAAATAATTTAATCTCTACCAGGGTGCTAAAGATGTTGACATTTATTCACTTGTTTGATTTGTGTTAGTCTTTAGAATATCTTCTGGCTCAACATTTGGTTTTCAGTGTACTCTCCACATTTTCTAAGGGATTTTAAGTAAGTGAGATTGTAAGTCCAGTCCAGTCAGTTACATTAACTAAGGCCTCCTGGAAACAGTTAATCACTAGTTTTGTTAACTATGACATGAGCTGCTTTAAGCTGTAAGACAAAACTATGACTCGCTGGAAGTTTCCATGCTGATCAAAAACTCATTTATTTGCTGTTCTGTAGTGACTGCCCTTCTGGCACTTTAATTCCAGATGGGTTAAGTGTGTCTGTGTCGTGACAGTGTTTCACCTGCAGTTAGGGACCTTCCTACTTTAGTTTCTAACTAGTTTGTTTTTTTTCTCTAGATTGTCTACCCCTGTCAGTTTTCATGTGGATCACTTTCAACATCTGACTAAAACTTTTTCCTCTAGATCATGAAAATATTTTCAAAACTTGTGCTGCTGGTTCCAAATATCAACTATTGTTTTTCTGTGGTTTAAAGTGAGTAAAATCCTAAGCTAAGGTTAGAGCACTATTTAAATGCCCATTACTGGTTTACGGTATACACTATGGCATACTAAATAGGTAAGTGCCTCACAGTTAAGTTATAATAGTTATTGGTATTGTTGGTTTTCGTTAGTTATATATTTGTGTGTGTACATTGTATGCTATAATTGTCTCGCTCAGAAAACAAAAATCAAATAAAAAATAAATAAATTTCTGGAAGTGGGATAATAATTACATCCACGAAGTTTTTGCAGGGTAAGTTCTCTGAATAATATACAATAGCTACTACAGTAGTTAAAGGATGACACATTGTGAATGGAGGTATGTACCCTGTTTCCCCCTGAATTTAATATCCACACTCATACACCCTCTAGAGGTAGACCACAGAAGTGTAGCCTCCAAGAGAAAAAAAAGCAACTGTTTTCCAGGGGGAAATCGTGATAACAATAAAACTACAATTGATATCCATACGTTACATGATATGCATGGGTGAGATATTTTGTCACTACATTTTGGTTGGGACACCATTGGTCTTAATCTCTGCTTCTGATCTGACTACAGGAGAGAAGGAATGTCAGTCTCTAAGCCCTGGACCTCAGAGCTGGAGAACCGCTACTGACTGCAACCGAACAGCAATTTCAATGTGCTGACGTTTAGATGAGGATGAGTATTTGGCAAGTCAGTGTGTATGTGTGTGTGAGTGTGTGTGTACACAAGCATACACGATCCAATATCCGCATACTACACCCCACATGAATATGCAAGCAGGGGAGAGATGAATGATTGAAAAAGTGTGAATGAAATAACTCCCTACTCACACTCTTGTTAAACTCACCATCCTTCTTACTACTAAGTATTACACCTTGTTATACACATGCGAAAATACACAAAGCTGCAGTATGAGTGTATTTTCATCACTGGTCAACACTGGTCATTTGATATCATCAGATTGTGCTGGAAATGTTGCTGAAAAAGTAATAGTATAACCAGTTTGACAAAAGACGATCGTTCATTATCAATCATACGTATATAAATATTTTATAGTTTGGTGTTGGTAGGATGGGCAGATTATTTCTTGAACAAATCTCTGATGTGTCTGTCACGGACAGTTGTTGGCTCATTTCCTATCTCCTCATCTGTATTCCAAACAGAATATGTAGTCAGATGTGAGGAAGAGGGGGGTCTCATCCTTCCCATACTCTCTCGCTCTCTCCTCACATCCGCCTACCTTGCCTGCCCACCTCGCTTTCTCCCTCTCTGACTCATACTGAAATCCCAGTGAGCCNTTTCTCTCCCTTTGATTGCCAAGCTGGCTCCAACACAGTGAGCAGGGCAAGAGAGAATGAGCAAATGAAAACGAAGGAGAAGGAGAGAGGAGCAGCGGGTGGGAGGGTGGTGTGGGGCTGTGCTGCTGCCAAACGTGCCTGTAATGAGGATTCTGTCAGAGCAGGGCTAGGGAGGAAAAGGAGAGCGTGCGTGTGTGTTCGTGCACGTGTGTGAGTGGGTGTCAGAGTGAGAAAGTGGTTTCGAAGGAGTGGGTGTTTTTTAGTGAAACCCCTTCCCACCTACACATCCTTCCCTTTACTGTCTGTGTACATTTTGTATGCCCCCACATACGGATGATGCCCAACATATACATTAGATGAACTTTACATCTGTTTGTGTTTATAAAGTTGTCTGACAAGAGCAAATAATAAAGTATATGTTTAAGGGCATGTGTGTATTTTTTACCTGAGGTGTCATTTCATTGTATTATCACACAGCGTCGACGTAGCAGGCCAAGGTCATCTGTCCCTGTGCAAAGTCATATGTCAAGTATGAGTTTTTTGTTTGTTCCAAGAGTGACTCACACAAACTCCACAGCACTGTGCCAACGTTATGTGCTTGATTAAAGCATCACACACTTCCAACTACACACTATACGTGCGGGTGTGCATGTGTTTAACGGTGTTGTTGGTGTTAGACTACAGGCATCTGTTTGCCTGTAGGTGCAGTAAAGGTCGTATCAATATCTACATTTTCCCTTCATTTAAAATACATTATAAATTAAGACAGAGCTCCATTTTTGTGATGGCATTAGTATCAACATAAACAGTACTGTATATAATGGTGCCACTCATTTTAAGGCCAGGGGTCAGCAACCTGTGGCTCTTGAGCCACATGTGGCTCTTTAGCCTTTTTGCAATGGCTCCCTGCTATAAACTAAATTTAGCCTGAAGGAAAAGGCAGGAAGGCAATATAATTTTATTTTTATTTATTTTTATTTTTTTAAGTCAAGGTTGAACTACTTTTACACATCACTCTAAAATTTCAGCTTGCTGGTAATCTTTACGTTAGATCACTGTATGTGATGGAAATTGATCCCCATATGCATGTAGAAATTTGAGTTGTATGTTTTTTCTCCACAAAATATTGTACTTAGTGTACAGTATACAGTGGTATAATAATACAGAACCTAAAATTGCATACAGTGCACTGTTGCCATCATTAAAATGGTCAAATGGTTTTAGAGGCTCTGTGTGAATTTATTTTCCTGGTAATATAATAACTATGGCTCATCTGGTATTGAAGGTTGCAGACCCCTGGTATATGTTTGTAATGGAATTATGACGCACTGTTCCTTCATGGAAAATTAAACACAGCCATGTCAACTGCCATTCTGCTTAAATGACAAAAGACTGTCTGTCTTTTGTCTATGTGTTACATATGTTATATGTCATTTATGTCTATGTGACATAACATGGTGGTTGACTGTCCTGTCAGAATGCAAGACTAATCGGGTTAGTGTACTTCTCGTAGGAATGTTCTTAAACAAACAGAACTTTACTGTAAACATTATTTCATATAGTTCCAAATATGTGAGGCTCAGTTTTTAAGACGTCAACCTGATTGAAAACTTGAAGGTTATTAATGGTTTTACAGCTCTAAGACAAAGTTTAATCCAATAGGTCTGGAGTGAAAAAAAAAACTCTTTGATCAACGTTTCTTATAAAACTACACTGAATGCCAATCTTAGTTACCTTACATGTTGCACTTCTTCAACAATCTCTATATTTGCTTTGACTCCTCTGCATTAACACATCTTGCAGTCTGACTAACATCACCCCCCCCCTCCCCCCCCGGTTCCTTGCAATCTTTAGTGAATAATTCATATAAACCGTTGCAATGGATATACTTCAAATATCTAAATATGCGCCACACAAGCCTCTGGCTCTGTGTCTGTGTGTCTGTCTGACTGTCCTACCCACGTGCCTTCTTTAATTATTCTCTTTTTTACTCTCTCTCAACATGAGGATCCCATTTCAGTCTACTCACTTCCCTCTGCTCTCTATTTTCATTCCACATTCGAAGTTATTTTTCTGCCCATTCAAATTTCATCCCAACAACTGCACTGTTTAATTCTCTATCTTTAAGCAGAACATCCCATTCTTATCTTCACCATATTCTCCTGACTGTATTCCCCCATCTGTCCTCCTCCTTTGCTCCGGTATTCTCCAAGTCTTCTCCTCCCACCTCCCAGTGTCTCTGTCGGGGGATACTGAGAGCGATAGACAGAAAGAGAAAGGAAGACAATGAGATGGGTGCAGAAAGATCTGGATATGATTGGGCCAGAGAAACCCCCCGGTGTCAGAAATTCACCTGCAAAAACTCCCTGCTTCCCCCGCTTTTCTCATCTGTATTCACAGTCTCTTCTCCCGTCCTCCCTGTTTCTCTCCTGCACCATGCCTCCTCACCCCTCTCTTGTGCCTCCTTTCTTCCCTTTTTCCAGCTCTGTCTCTTTCACTACCTCACCTCGCCCCTTTCTCCACCACCACCTCTGTCCTTCTGTGTCACTTATCACCCTGCATTGCTCCACCTGCACTGTGGTGCAGCACTGACAATCAGAACTCTGCACACATACACACATACACGCGCAGAGGCACACAAGTTACTTATCCGCACGCAGGGAGACACACGCCCACCACTTCCGGCAGCCCCCTCCCTCTCTCACACCTCATCCTCTGCAGACACGAAAAATTCTAACCCCTTGTGTACCACTGCTTCAACAAGAGAGACTCTGCTAATACTACATCAGCAGTATTCTGTATCTAGTGTTGATATTTGTTTATATAATAACTGTAACTATATATTAAAATGAATTAAATATCGTAATAATAATCATTGTTGCCCTGATGTATCAAGGTTTATGTGCATTTCTTTGGGGTCAGCAAGTATAATATCATTAACAGAAAACCACAATGTGAAAAAAAAAATTCAAATTCACCATCTGTGTGAGATTTGAAGGAATGACAACTAACACTGTCCCTTTAATTTGTTGTTGCTAGGGAAATGAAGCTGTTCAGCTTCAGCCACATGGACTTAGACTAATCACTTCCTCCTCAGATAAACATGCATCTATGGCCACACACAACAACAATATCTGGTATTCCTGTGGTATTATACTAAAACACATTTCTTGTGAAAGTTAGCAAATCTGTTCACAGTTATTAGAGAAATATATAGCAAACAGGAGATGATGTTATACATTCAAATTAATTACATTCTGGGAGAGATAAGTAGACACCGAGTTCATTGTTCGGCCAATTCAAAACACTGGACACCAGGAGAGTTAAGCTTGAAACGAGAATAAAGTATTCAACCATGACATCTAGTGGATATTAAACCAAACTGAACGCTTTGTGTATGGTGTGCACTAACTATTTCCATCTTTATACAATGTCAGACCTTTAAGCCTTCTTTCCTTGGGCTTCATATATGGGTCAAGCCACGTGTAAGTTTTACACAACAGCATTTATGAGTTGAATAGTCACATGGAAATGGGAATGTTTAAAACCTAAAATAAAATGGTTTAGCCTCATGCACAACAAAAGACCCTTTTTGCAAAAACAAGGCACTCATTATTAAAAGCACATGTTTTATAGCTGTAAAAATAGATATATAACATTTGCAGTTATTCATTCCTCTTTAAGCATTAATAAACGTTGTACATGCAAAAATGAACATTCAAATCAGAGAAACACCAACTAGCTTAAAAAGGAATAGATTGAAAAACCGTTCTATATGCTAGTGTATGCTTTGTGTCTATTTAAACAAATCACATATATTCAGAAAGAGTTGGGAAATATTGTAATCAATTTTATATTCTAATTCTCAAATTTATACTCAGTCACCATTTGAATACTTAACCAAACTATATTACAAAAATGATCTATATAACTTAGTAACAGAAGTTTTTTCTTTGTAAATGTTTTCTTTATTGTGGAGGCCAAATAGGATCACTTTAGGTCACATTGAATAATATACCTCAAAAAACCTTTTGTTTTAATTTTAATATTGTTTCTCAGTAGTATGAGGCAAAGCAATGCTTCTTACTTTTTTATTTTTGTGAAGGACAAGAGATTTAATCTGTTTTTAATATAATCCCTGGATTTATTTGTTTATTTATTTACTGTAAATATTTTTCACACCATATTCAAGTAAAATCCTTAAGATCAAAATTCATGTTTCCGTAATTCCATTTTTACTGAAAAAGGCGAAGGGGACGAGAAGGAAGAAGAAGAAACAACACTTTGATGATTTTGATGTTCTAAGCAAATAAGAATTAATGGCTAACCTTTAAATAGCTGATATTGAGTGGTTTACTCGAACTGAGTAATGGCTACATAGCACTTCGAAACTACGTCACAACACAGGAATAGATGTGAGCCCACACGGCTTCCGTACTCGGTGGTTGTGTTTGTTTTCAGTCAAATCAAAGATGGCGGACCAACTAGACCGAGTGCGAATCTCAGCAGCTGAACTTCGAGCTGAGGCGTCGAATACAGTTTCTTCTGGTGACGCTCAAAAAGGTAGGAGACTGTAAACACGACACACGGAAGACGAAGCGTCTAAAAATAGCGACAGTAGATATTTAATGAGTTCAACAAAAGTAGTCCAAAGTTACCAAGTTTGTATTTAGCTAATGTTGTAATGTTGCTAACTGCTGTCTTTGGTCCCGCGCGGTTGGTTTTATCCGCCCACTTAACTACTGTTGTCGATATGCAGTGATGTTCAAATTGTTCCAAATCACGTTTGAATAGCAATATATGACACAGGTAATTAACTGGATTAATGTGCCAATGACACGTGAATATCTGCGGACACGCTCCGACTATTGTCTTCGGTCAGCGGCAGTTAACCTCATGGACATCTTAAAGTGTCGCTCTTGACAGGGCCACTTTAAAAACTACGACCAACTTTTTCTGCCTTACCCCAATAAAATAATTAAAGGAAGAAGGTGGGAAATAGCATGAAGGGGAGAGTGAAAGAAAGCATATGGTAAAATGATTAGTATGTTAGTACAGTATTTAGAGGTCATAAAGCGGTTTTAACACACAATAGAGATTTCATGTATTGGTAAGATTGGAAGATTGACTGATACCTAAAACCTTAACATATCTATGTATCTTCCTGTATTTTTGTTTCTTCAGACGAGCAGCATCTGTCTAAGCAACATAAAAGGCGTGAGGAAAAGCGTCCTGATTTGCAGCGATATCAGCCTGTAGCTGGACGTGGTCAGACTCACCATGATAGTGAAGGAGATCCTGGTCAAAGCGATGCCATGTCTACATATTTACAAGAGCAAGCTACAACTTTGCAGAATGTGAAAAAGTCTACCCATAAAAAAAAATCTGATGGGACTTCTGATAGCAAAGGGGTTGATGAAACAGAAGACGACAGGACAGGTGGTGATGGCAGTAACTCACAGAACTGTAAAAAAGCCAGCCCATCACAAGGCAACACTGGAGCAAATCAAGAAAAAAACTTTGCTGAAAATGAAGAACATGCGGAACCTGCCGGTGCTCAAAAACCTTCAAGGAAGGCACGCAAACCTGACCGTGAATTTTATCAACCTGGGAGCCGGAGGAATATTCAGGGAAAAGACTGTAGAGTTGGGAAGGAGCAGGATAAACCTCCCACAAGGAAGTCTGAACAGAAAAATGAGCATGGCTCTACTGTGAGTACAGAAGAATCAAAAGGGAATAAAGCATCCACTGAGAAGCAAAGAGGAAATGAAAAAGAAGTTGTGGTTACACAGGAAAATTTGAATAGTTTAAAATTAAGTGATTCAAAGAGGAGGCAAGAAAACAGAGACATTCGAAAACCACCGTTATCACCACATGCTGAAGTGGAAAACATTTCCAACAAAGTCGAAAATATGTGTGTTAAAGATGTTCAAGTGGAGAAAGTAGTCCAGGATGGTGAAGAATTGACTAGAAGGAGAGAAGAAGAAAAGAAAGAGAAAAGAGAAAAAGAAAACCGCAGAAGAAGAGCAAGGGAAAAAGAAAAAGTGACAGTTTGGGATTCAAGAGAAGATGGGGTGAGTTGTGATGGAAAATCAGATCACAGTAAAGAGGAGAGAGACAGGGACAAGCGAGCAGCTAAAGCAGACAAGGATAACAAACCTAGTAAGACAATAGAGACACACCCTGGCAAAAGAAGAGAAAACTGCAGAGAAAGTAAAAAAGGGGGTTATGACAACAACAATCGGTCCAGAGAAGTTGAGAAAAATCCCAAGATGGAAAAAACTGAAGCCAGAACAGCGGGAAAAGTTAATAAAAATGCTCACAACGCTGCTACTACAGCATCATGCTCAAAACGATATTCAAAGTCAGATATACGACATTCACGAAATCGAACTTACAGTAGCAGCTCAGCCAGCAGTGTGACCAGCTTAGATGGTCGAGGATCAGGGAAGAATGTGGAAAGCCGTAAGTGGTCACGTATGCAGCCTAAAGTCCGTAACAAAGATGAAAGGTTTAGGAGTAGGGAAGACGAAAAAAGTCATTTGCAAAGTTGGCCTACTAATGGGGAGTCCTCTACAGAATCGCTTGAAGGAAGTGAGATGAGGGACATTGCAGAAAATAGAAGGAGTAGAAGAAGTGGAGCAGAGGAAGAGGTCAGGGCAGCGAGGCGAGTGGATGAAAAGAATGTCAAACAGGGAAGCAAAAGTGGAGGTGGTGGAATCCTTAGGGTTTCCCTTAATAAACAGACAAGTTCCTCATCACAAAGGCTAGAAATGAACACTCGCAAGGAAGGCTCTGCTCCTTGTGGTAGGGGTGGTGGTATTCTGGTTCTTCCAGCCCGCACAGATCTCTCAAATTCATCTGAGGCTGGCCAAAGACTTTTTGGTGCACTGAGGAGAGGAGGAGTGCACAATAGTAGAGGAGGTAGAGGAGGTGGGGTGAGAAGACTCTGGGATCCAAATAATCCAGACCAGAAACCTGCACTTACCAATAGCCAGTCTTCATTGCAAAAGTCTCTCCCGCAGTCTGTATATCTTCAAACAGGGACTGGTTATGGACAACTACACTTTCTAGACACAGATGATGAAGCAACAGGCAGTCCTCCAGTCCCACAGGGTCAACACTTTCAATCTCAGCAGGCTGCCGCCATGGCTTTCTATAAGTTCCAGAATTCCGACAATCCATATTGCTACCCTATCTCCACCAACAATCCTCATAATTCTGGCCCCACCCCAAACCTGAGGTTTTCATATCCATACATGACTCCATATCAAGTAGTTCCGTCTAATGGCATGTACTCTAGTCCTGGTGCTAACCAAGTCTGTGGGACTTACAAATTAGGAGGGTACTCTCAGCCTGGAGTTGGTTTGACATTGGAAGAGGCAGAGCAACAAGCCAGAGGTGAACTAGGGAAGCTGCTGAGGGCTGCAGATGCTCATGAACATCAGCTCAGTAACTTGCTCTCCAGAGACAGAGTCAGTGCAGATGGACTGGACCGCATGGCCCAACTCAGGTGAGTATTTGTTACTAAGAAAAAGTGTTACTGTCATCATATGTATTTGTTGGTTGGTTGCCCCTTTTTATGAGAAACACTAATAAAGAACTGTTCTATCTTCCAGGGCAGATCTTTTGGTTCTGTATGAACAGATTATCTTAACAGACATTGAGTTCTCGGATTCCCAAAATGTGGATCAGGCCTTGTGGAAAAATGTGTTTTACCAGGTCATAGAGCATTTCCGGCAAATACTCAAAGACCACGGCCACGATGGCACCACTCACATCAGGAACATGTTGCTCACATTACTTGATGAGGTAATGCATATTAAAAAAAACACAACCCTAACCCTAAACACTTTAATATTGAATATTAATGCTAACCCATTTAAGTAACCCCTTGAGCAGAATTGGTGCCAATGTTAAATATTGAAAATGTATGGTGAATTTCTCATCTTCCCTTTTATTACACAAAATTGACAAAGTTTTGCCAAAGATTTTTTTTTTATGTCTTCCCACTGAAAACTGTTTACTTTGGCACAAAGATCACTGGCCTGCAAGTGTGAAATATTGTGCATTGAAGTTTGATGCATTTGACAGATAATGCTATTTTCTGGAGTCTGCTTCTCCTGCAGTAGAGATTGTCCAATAACTTTATTAATAATTTGTTCCAAGCCAATTTGAAATGACAGATATTAACTTTAATATCACAAATTAAACAGATGTCGCCATCTACCATTTATCTTCTGTATTTTATCTACCATGGCTGAGCTTTGAACCTGAACTGACCTGAAAGAGATTTATTTAAGGCCCTGTTGTTCATAAATAGGCTAAAGTGTCCCTAATACGAAGATGCATCATTTGTGTTATTTTTTATTTATTTATTCCTTTGTGTCCGTAGTGTCTGTTGCCTTTTTATTGTTAACTGAATTGATTTTCTTTTTTTAATCTGAAACCTTGTTTTGATATCTTATTGTTGTTTAACTTGTCTGTTGTGGTCTGTGTCCACAGGGATCTCTTTTCTTTGATGCACTGCTTCAGAAGCTGCAGACTGTGTACCAGTTTACATTAGAGGATTATATGGATGGCATGGCAATCAGGGCTCGACCATTACGCAAAACGGTAATGCAGAATTTCTCTGTGTCTGTGGGTGTTTTTCCTGAGCCTGTGTGTTAGAAAATGCATGTTTTCTCACAGTAATACCAGAGTCAAACATTCACAGATTCATATTTACTAGTATGCAGAGCAATGACCCTTGATTATATTACCATTACTATTGTCATCCACAGCAAAGGGGTTAAAGAGCTATTGTTGATTTCAATCTTTTTCAGGTGAAGTATGCTCTGATCAGTGCACAGCGCTGTATGATTTGTCAAGGAGATATTGCACGTTACCGTGAGCAGGCCACTGATTCAGCTAACTATGGGAAGGCTCGAAGGTATCAGGAATCTGTTCCACACTATGAAAAGAAAATTGAATATATGGGCCATGCTCTTTGTTGTGGCACAGTTGACATATTTCAAGTCAATCTTTCCATTGAAATGAAAAAGTATTTAATGTAAAGTATAGAATTTATCAGGTCTTATATCTTGTTACACTGTTTCTTTCAGCTGGTACCTGAAAGCCCAGCAGATTGCCCCCAAAAATGGACGGCCATACAACCAGTTGGCACTGTTAGCAGTCTATACAGTAAGTAATAGAAATGAATGAATGAGAGATTGACAACATAATGGGGGTACACATAGTTTAATTATTGCATTTCTTTTGACTTTTCCATCAGTAATATTGACTGATATTATTAATAATGTAACAATAGTCTGTTTGCAGTAATCAATTAATGAAGAATTTTTGCCCTAATGAATATTTTCCTTTTTGCCCACTTTCAGAAAAGAAAGATGGATGCTGTGTATTATTATATGCGCAGTTTGGCTGCTTCAAACCCCATCCTGACTGCAAAGGAGAGTCTGATGAGTCTGTTTGAAGAAGCAAAGCGCAAGGTTGGTCACACTTTGAACACTGTGCTATCAGTGATGACTTTTAATAGAAACCACAGCCGAAAAAGAACAGTTGACAATTGAATATTAAAATCAAAAGGTATTCTCTGTAAAGGTCAAGCAGTGAAACCTTTCACCAAATTAATTAATTAACAGTTGGAAGATTAAAAACACATTTAGTCAGCCTTATTATGTGTCATAAAATGATATTATTATGGCCATGAGGATAACCAGCAACATTTTTCTTAATAAAAATTTCTTCCTGGCAGACAGAGCAGCTTGACAGAAGGAGGAGACAGGAGTGTGAAGGAGGCTCTATGGGTCCCACAGTTAGAGGGAGGGGAAGACGGGAAGCAGGAGCACGTGTAGAGATTTGGGTTCGCCCCAGCAGACCTGCAGTAACCCAGTCCTCACGTAGAGGAGGCAGCGAGTCCAGCAGAGACTCTGAACATGATGGAGACCTAGGAAGTCTCAGTGCAAGTGATGTAAGATCTATTTGTCACGTTTCTCTGTGTTTATATCAAAACAGATCCCTTTAGCATTTTGTACCTGCATGGTGAACATTAAAAATGTATTTTTAAGTTGTCATTTCTACACACGATTATGCGTAAGTGTCTGCAACTCTCCCCATATTATATAATTTTTCTTGAATTTTTAATAGGTAGTTTAAAAACGGTAATACAGTGGGGCTTCAAGATACAAGCTAATGGATCTTTTACAACATTTTCCCTGTGATACAAGGAAACATTTGAGTGACGGGTGCTCAATCAAGCTGCATTTTTCCACTCTACACTGTCTTGCTGTCTCACTCACTGTCCTTCTTTGGGTTATTTTACCCATTTTTTACCCATGTTTTCTTAATTATAATTATTTTATATTATCAATATATTTGTTTATATTTATGTTTTTGGTTTTTGGATAAGGAAGGAATTTTTATTTAGTTAATCGTATATTTCTGGCAGACTTTAATGAATTAATTGTTTTTTAGTTATTTTTAATGGGGGAAAATGCAATAGGGAGTCGAGCGGATCGACATACGAGTGCTGTTGTAGAGCGGATTAATCTCTATCTTGAAGCCCCACTGTATACTGGCCACTAAACTGAATTAATAAAAATAACACAGTCAACGTCATTGTCTTTTCGTTCACTGTACAAAAGTAATATTCTTTTTTTTATTATTATTTCAATATTGATATATAAACTGTTTAACTTCAACAACCAGTACAGAACTATTTCTGTGTCAGGTACCTGACTTTTGACTTTGCTCAGTAATTTCAGAAACCTTTTTTTGTTAGCAATTGTTGGACCTATTTAAAAATGGTTTAAAACAACTTTGACCTTCTGTTTTCTTTTTTTCCCCAGCTGAATAAGAGGTTCAGTCTGAGTTTTTTGCATGCACATGGGAAGCTCTTCACAAAAGTTGGGTAAGTTTGAGTTACAATTAATGGATTGGGATTGATGAGTGAGGCATGTCTTTCCAAAAAAGAGATGCACAAAACTCTGGTAGACCTGTTGGACAGATAAAACTATAAATATTAAGTATATAATTTAATACTGTCTTTGATTTAGTTTGTTTATTATAACTGTATTCTTTTTACACGCAGCATGGAGTCGTTTCCTGGTGTAGCCAGTCGTGTTCTGCAAGAGTTTAGGAAACTTCTACAGCATGGACCATCTCTGCTGGGCAGCACACACATGCTGCAGATCATCACCATCAATATGTTCACCATACACAATGCTCAAAGTAGAGGTAATTCTGTGGAGGACTCGTATACAGTCAAAGTTGTAATAAAAAAACTTAAATAATTTAAATTAAAGTGTTATGTAGACTTGAATTTATGGCGAGTGGCAGTGTAGTGTCTTTGGATGATGATAAAAAATGAATCATCCAGGAATATTTTTTTTTGTTCTTGCCTATTTTACAGGTGAAGACAGAGAATCCCGGTCTGTTTTACAAGAACAAAGCACTGCCCTGGGTCTTGGCATGTTTGCACTTTTGGTGCAGCACTGCACGGAGCTACTCAAAAACACTCCTGCAGGTATACATACACACTGAGCTTCTCGTTGTTTAAAGTACTTGGCACTAGCTTCACTTAATAGCACACTACTCAAATGGACATGGCTGTTTTTGCTACAGTGAGAGCATGCACAGCTACATTGTTCCTCTAGACCAGGGGTATCAAACTCAAATTCATACTGGGCCAAAATTATAAACTAGGACGAAGTCGCAGGCTATCTTAATATTTGTTGAAAAATTGATGGCAATTGTGAATGTTTTCCCTTCTCTAGACTGTGTTTTTTGCTTTCAGTGCCAGTCCCGATGGCAGATGGAGAGGATGACAATAAAGGGATGGGGCAGGATGGTATGGTGAGGGTTTCTGCATTCCCACAGGACCTTACAGAACTACTCCCAACCATCAAGGTATGGTCTGACTGGATGTTGGGCCACCCAGACCTTTGGAACCCACCTCCATGCAGTATAGAGTGAGTAATAAGAACACAAGGAAGTTGGAGAGAATTACACAAACCTCTGCAGCAGCTCTTTTTGGGATGGTAACAATATAGTACATGCTAGACAACAGCACTTAACAACATTTTCTCTGTTAAGTGGCAGCCCTGATGTTTGGCAGTGCCTGGCTGACCTGTGCAATGTTCTGGCACATGTGGATCACGAGGAAGTGCCTTTGTACAAAGTGGACACTGATGAAGTTGAGGGAGATGAGGAGTTGACTGTCTTGCAGCTCAAGGAGGACAAGCTGCTTGCTGGTTTCATACCCCTGCTGGCTGCACCACAGGAACCTTGTTACATAGACAAGCACACTGAAATGGTAAACGTAAAAAAAAAAAAGAACTGACTTATTACATGATACATACTTTTATTCCTGTTAAACTGTTATCTGTGTGCAGGTAACTATGTAAAACATGGCAGAAGTTTTTTCCTTTGCCATACACTGTATTATACCTATTCGAAACTATAGTAGCTGTCAACAACAGAATAGCCATTTTTATCATTTTCCCAGCAAATACACTTGACCCAGAGTCGTGTATGAAGTTTAAATACTGTAATTCTACTGAATATCTAAGATGTAAAAAGAAAAATTACAATATGGTAAGGGTTTAATTTTTTTACATATGAGCAATGACCAATTCCAACACATTTAGTATGACACTACAATCACATACCTGAAGTCAAAATTGCTTGAACTACAGTTCTTTTATTTGCACCGCTGATCTTAAATTAAGAGGGCAGTGCCACAATGTTGATTTTTCTATTAGCGAGTTAGCTCAGTTAGCTCATTGATATGACATAAAAATTGGTTAAACCTTGATTGAAAAAAAGAAATCAGCTCTTTATTTGCTTTTTACTTCTGATGTATCATAAGAAGCTGAATTTGGTTGTTTGCAAATAGGCTAAGAAACCACTGGTTGCAGATTTCTGCAATAGACAACATTACTGTTTATTATATTATTCTGTATAATATTTGGTGACTTTGTGTATGCAATATCATCTTTCTGTTTTAACATGCATATTGATCTCCTTCTTTCAGTCTATTGCAGCAGATTGTAAGAGGGTCACGGTGCTGAAGTACTTTTTAGAAGCGTTGTGTGGTCAGGAAGAGCCTCTGCTGGCCTTTAAGGGAGGAAAATATGTATCTGTTGCAACTTCTCCACCCAAACATTCAGGGGATACGGGACAACAGGAATCTGCATTTGTGAAGGAGGTGAATATTTTTCTTCTTCACCTCTAATGACCTCTTCGTGCATTATCCCCAAAATTTGACAACTTCATTATTATGGAAATGATCAAATTAATTTTTTATAGCAGTTCTGCAGAGTCTGTTGAATCACTGAATGGCTTATTTTCTCTTTTTTGTTTGCCAGGCTGATGACGTTGTGGTCGAAGCAGAATCATCTCTGTCTGCGTCAGAAGAAGATGATGCGACAGAGCTGGGCGACAGTGAGAATGACATCAGAGAGCTTAAGGCACGACGACACGTCCTCGCCAACAAACTGGCACTGCAACAGCGGCGAAGAGATAAAATCCAGGTAAAGTTGGTACATAAGCACACAACAAAAACATAGCTGTTAGACAGATAAAACAGAAAGGCCACATTTTAGAACAATTGGAAATAAGTGCATTTTCATATTCTTAAAAAGGCACAAAAAAGGTCTAAATACACTTTCTCCTTCCCTATACGTGTTTTGTGGCAGCACTGAATGTATCATATATCTGTTTTCTTTTGCGTGTATTCCAGGCAATGCTCCAGACAAGTGGTCAGTTGGAGCTGGAAGTACGGCCTCTGTTCTTGGTACCAGATACCAATGGTTTTATTGATCATTTAGAAGGACTGAAGAAACTCCTCCAATGTGGAATATACATAATAGTGGTGCCGCTTATTGGTAAGAAAAACAAAAACAAGGAACTAAATGTAGGCATGATAAAATTTAGGAAAAGAAAGTGTTTGCTCATGTTTGAGTACAATAAAATGTGTTTTCTCTTTCTGTTTCAGTAATTACAGAGTTGGATGGTTTGGCAAAAGGACAAGACAACTTTGTTGGTGGAGGAGGGTCAGGAGGTCGCAGCAGTGCCACTCGTGGCAACAGCAGTGATAGTGTGGCTCATGTTCGGTCCTTGCAGGATAAGGCCCGGCTGGCAGTGGATTTCTTAGAGAAAGCTTTTGAAGCCAGGGAGCCATGCCTCAGAGCCTTAACCAGCCGGGGCAATCAGCTTGAGTCTATTGCTTTCCGCAGTGAAGATACCTCTGGGCAACAGGTGAGGGTTCAGATAAACATCATTTTAATCAGTCAGTGTGTTCAGCTTTATTACCTTCTAGTTTACTTCACATCAGTATTTCACTTTTCTTCAAAAACTGCTTTTTCTCTTTTTTTTTTATCAGGGTAACAATGATGATGTGATTTTGTCCTGCTGTCTCCACTACTGCAAAGACAAGGCAAAAGACTTCATGCCTGATCAGAGAAGTATGTTTTATTCTGTAGATTTTCTTATTAAAACAATAAAACAGATACTTCATATTAGCTATATTAGAGGTATATTAAAGTTAGGATTTCCCTGAAAAAATAATTTGATGAAGAGGCAGGCTCAACCCTTGGGAGAAGTTTTGCTATCATTATAATAAATAGTCACTAGTGTCACAGAACACAATTTTCAGATTATTACAGTTGAGAATGTTGTAACAACCATACCTTTAAAACTTCTGAGTGTATCATCATTTTTTTCCACTGTCCACAGATGGAACAGTGAGGCTCCATAGAGAGGTGGTGCTACTTACAGATGACCGAAACCTGCGTGTCAAAGCTTTGACCCGCAATGTCCCTGTGCGAGACATTTCCGCTTTCCTTAGCTGGGCCAAAGTCGGGTGAAGTATGTTAAGCTGGAATCAAAGGAACCCAACAGCTGAAGCCTGCTTGCGACTCAGCCAGGAGAGAAGATGCTAGGCAGAGGAGATAACAAGGGAAAGCAATGGAAATAGAAAGCAAAGAACCACCGCTTGTGTGACACAAGTAAGTGTAGTGAGAGTGAGGGGGTTTAGGTGAGCTAAACCCTCTTGTTTTGAAATGTGCCTGTGTTATGTGTTAAGATCAATGAGCTTCCACAGAAAGAGACAGGGAGACATTTTTTGTCTCTGAGAGACTAGACAAGAAGAAAGAACAGGAGGGGGTAAAAATTGAGTCAGTTGATTTGTAAGTTATCAGTCCAGCCTTGAACCTCCGCGCCTAGATAGCTAGCATATATGTGAGCAGAATTCCAATTGGAACTGGTGACAGTCAGGCATTGGAAGTGTATGTGGCCATTTAATTCTTTGGTAACAGGCTGTACTGGTGTGGACTGCACTGTTACACTTCTATGGGGTCCTAGTCGTAAAGACTGTTACGACCTTGAAAGCAGACCTAAAATAAGGAATGACATGGAGAAGCACAGTAGAGAGTAACTACTGTAAGTGTAGTGATAAGGTTCCACAAGGAGCCTTCATCCAACTCTGAGCACCACCAAGGAGTTACATACAGGATATCAAGTTTCCTGCAAACGTAGGAAGTGCCTTATATCTGAAGAGTAATATGAGTTGTTCAAATTAATGTTTGATTTCAGTACATTGTTTTTGTTAGCTTGATTTTGGACTTGTTTTTGAAAAAATGTGTTACTTTCATGAAGTTTTTTTTTCCATTGGGCTTCTGTTATAACTTTTCAGTGTAGGCAAAACGCATTGAGTTTTGATCTGTGGTAAATAAATTCACTACACCGATACATTTTCGATTTCCATCATTTGAAAGAAAATTGTGTTTACCTGTCTTATTCCATGATTTAAACAAAATGGAAGCCACACAGTTAAAGAAGGTATGGTCTGGATGTTTTATTTTGAATATATATTAGTGTGTGTCAGTATTATTATTTTTGTCTTTGTGGAGTTTTGCCACAGCTGTTAATTTTCTGTACATTTTAATTATTGGTGTTTAGCTTTTCCTCTTCCATTCAGTTGTCTCTATTAGAAATAAAGTGCATTCAGTGTAAAAGTACAAAACATGTGTTAACATTTTAATTGCTGTCTTATACTACCTTGCTGTTGCATATTTTAAGCATTGAAGCTACATGTTATGTTTGCATTAGATGCGCTGCTTGCATTTTGTTGCTTTTGGGAAAAAAATGAATTCATTCTGATCAATATTTGTGTATTGGCATTTCCTAAATGGTCCTTTCTGAATGCTCAGTGTTCTTATTGGTCCTGTGTTTGGTTATATCAAATCCATCCAATAACTAACTCATCATTGACTCTGATCATCTAGAAGTAAAAATATCAATATATATTATATGCAATTTATCAGAAGTTAATTTGTAATTGTGAAGTCCAGATGAATTAACATTTTCACTGTAAACCCTTAGCATTCATTCATTGCTGATTTTAGCTGATTTTTGTGAAATTGTACACCAGATTGATGGGTTCATAATAGTGGGATATGCAGGGTTTTTAGTGGAATACTGAAATAGCAAACGGCAGTGTCACAACAATGAACATGTACAACTTAAAAAACCCTGCAGGTGTGAAATGCTGAAGGTTGTTGCTTTCACTTAAAAAAAAAAATAAAACAAACGTTCTAAAGACTTGTTTGTGCAAACTTGGATTTAAAAGTTGATACTGATCTAATTATACTGATCAAATGATTTATAAGTTAAATAAAACCAAGATTCTAGTTTATTGTGAAAAGCAAAACACTGTAAGCATATTCTCCATGAACATTGAAAGCTAATGAGAATGTTAATACAATTAAACACCTCATGCAATAATGGTACAGGTAATACATTGTCCTCAGCTTAGTAAGGACAAACCCTATAAATGTGTGCCCTCTTGTGGTAGTGTCTGCTACCATCTTGTTGTACTGTAAATATCAGTCACTGTTGCCAAGGACTTCTGTGTAATATTCTAAAATATAGGAAAGGTCCTGATGTTTTAAAACAAATTAAGCAATAAAAGAAAAAATATAGATTCCTAAGATTATAATACACTAATTTGGTCTTAATATGATAACATACAGTATGAAACACATACAAAGTATCTATATGTGTATTATATAACATGAGACTGTGAGTCAGGGTCACAAAGTTATGCATCCCATCCATCCAGCCATCCATATCATTTGCTCCAGGATACTTCTGTGCCTGGATACAGACCACACAGACAGAACCTGATTCTCATCATCATGACAACAGTGCTACCAAGCAACCAATCAAAGCGCTCTCAGCCCTTTTCTGCACTCTCATTGGTTGCACTGCTCGCAGCCTGTTGTGGAATGCCCATCTTTAACCTCTCTGCTGCCATGCACCTTCCATACAGTGTGTATTTTTCTCAATGCAGATTATAGCGATACGTGTCTAATCTTCTGGGATGTGATGTCATGCATACACTGATGTAATGAGTGGATGAGAGGAACATTAAGCATCACACACTGTCATCCTTGTGAATTTAGATGGGAACTTTTTAGTCTGGTGTATAAACATCTGTATTACTCCACTGGCCTGGTGTAAAAAGCCAGACTGAAGGCAGAAAAGGGAGAAGCAGAACACAATGTCCAACTGATCAGCTGGTATCTGCACTGCAGAATACAATACTTGATACTGAAACCTGAATACATGGTATTCCATGTCATTATATAACATATCATGGACATTAACAAATGCAGACTGAACAGTAACATTATACTACAAGTCAAGCCTATGCATTGTGTACTCCATACTGTTTGCTAGAGTAGCCAAACATATTTGTGTCATTGTTAATAATAAAGGAATGATGTTATTACCTATTACTACATTTCACATTAGTACATCTCTAGCCTGTATATAGACACTAGGTATACAAATACGCTAAAAAAAACAGTTTCAAAAAGCTATTGTTTGACATTCTTCACGTCACCACTCCGATCTAAGCATGTATGTGAACGGAATTGATATATTGATAAATTTTGTCTTAAAGTATTATCAATAAAATTACTATCCTTAATAATATAATATTAATGGCACATGACAATGACAATCCAACATGGCTGTCTCGCTATAGAGAGAAGACCAAATACACGTGAATAGCAGTAACTTAATTAAAAACTTTCAGAACACATTTTACAGGAGTGGGCAACAATAACAATAAATGAATAAAAATAAAAAGTTAAATACGTTATTTTCATTTCATTATCTTTATTTATTAGTTGGTTGTTCACATAACATGTTTAAACTAAGTGTTCCTTTAAAATGAACGACTGGCTATTTATAGTAGACGCCTGATTAGGACTCAAACTGTTAATCAGGTTAGCAGCCCACTCTGACTGATAGAGTATGTCTGAGGTCATGATTAGATCAACTATTGTAAAGTGAATATGGATTCATATTCTATTAGTCGCTCTCTTCGAGGTTTCTTTACATGTTCTGACCACACGCGCGCGCGCACACACACACACCCATGTTTGCAGTCACAGTTTTGGATGAGAGACATAAAGAGAGAGCGAGAGGGCGAGCGAGCGAGTGAGAGTGGAAGGGAGGGGGTCACAGTTACCCTGCAGGGTGCAGCTGCACAGCATCAACAAGACTCTCCCCAAAACTGTCACACGTGTACTCCTCTACCATCTCACTCGAAAACCGAGAATATTCCTCCAACTCTGCACCACGCCGATTTGTGAAAGACTTGTTTTCTTCACACTGAAAGGGAGGCCATTCTGTCCGCCGCCATTTTTAGGGAACTGCCTATCGAAGACAGAAACTTTACCAGCTAATAGCCAGTGCTAACTGCTAGCTCACTGTGACAGTTAACGCTAGACAGCCATTAGCCCTGGTAGCTCGCCGCGCGTTAAGTTCTTCCTGCTGTCGAGACCATTTCTGCTACAAACCAGGCCAAATACAAATGAGTTAAACGTTAAGTCGGCGTTGTTGTTATCGGTTAGAAGGTAGTTAGTGTTATATTAGCTTCTCAGCCCTCGATTCACACTTTAATACCTCCGGACTGCATTGCCTCGTCTGTGATTTGGCGTCAGTCGCTTTTGCTCTGTCGTGTTTGACCTGACTGGATTATTCTGAAATTAACAGCCCACCGGGTGGATTCATTTTAAACAAGGTGAGTTGGTCATTGTATTTCTTTTCATGTCAGAAGTATTTAACGTTCAAATACAGTAAATGAGCTTGATTTCATAATAGATTAGCTGCACAGCTAGCTAGCCAGATTGCTCACTGCTAACCAAAAGTTGCTGTCACAACTTGTACAGTCTGTCGCATCGTCAGAATTTAGTCTTCATTACAGGGTAGGTTTAGTCTAATATAATCGTTAGTTTGTATATCTTGGATGTCATTGTAACACGAAAAGTCTTATCAACGCGAGGGGTAACCTGGTCAGGTGGGCTGTTGGGGATATGTGTTGTAAATAATGGGAACACATTGTTTTTCCCATCGAAGCCTTCGAAGCTAGCTGCGTTAGCCTGCTAATCCGCTTTATGCAACTATGGTTGCAAGCAGTGAGTGCCACTCCCTCGATTTTGTTTTTGTCCGCTGTTAAGTGAAACTCGCTCGTGGAGTTTTGTGTTTTGAAACTTCTGGCCTCCTATTGACATCGTGTGTCATCTATATGGATTGAATATGTCCCCATGTGACGGTAGGTGGGTGACATTGCTCAAAACATCCGTGTGTAAGTACATTGTGACACGTTTGGAGCAATATGTTTACAGACAGCAATAGCCAGGAGACTGACTAATCATTGCTGTCGAGTGGTCGCATCCCTCAGCTGCCTGTCGATGGCTGTTATTGTGCATTGACGTTAGTCGCATTCCTCCGTTTTCTTTGTTGATATTGCGTAACACTGGCCACCACACAGTCAGCTACTCCCCTGCTGTGGTTATCTGTGACTTCACCGCTCCGTTTGTGCATGACAGCAGATCGTGGACAAAGGGATTTAATAAACCACTTCTAGTATGGAAGTCATGTACAATGTCCTTGGTGTGACACCCGATTTTGTTCTAACCAAGAAGTTGCAGTGTTACTGACATAATCTCATGGCCAGAGTTTGACCGCTCATAGACACCAGCATTGTGTGGTGTTTGAGCTGTATATGAGCACAGCTTGTCTGCAGTGTCATTAGTCCTATTCCTCTTTTTGTTGACTGAAATGAACAGACTGCCTATGTTATGAATGCAGTCTATGGTCTGCAGCTGAAAAGCAGATACAGCTTGTCCTCCCACTCTCTCATAGCAGATACTGTACCTAACGGCTCTCCGTCCTCAGGACTTGTGCTGATCCACATACCTGTCATTTGGTTATTTGATAAGTGAAATGCAGTGACAACAGTTCATTATGTTTACTTGAAGGCAGAAGTTTCTATTCGTCATAAATGGTAAACAAAATAAACCACATAAGCAGTAATCTCTGTTATTTTAATGTGTTACAGGAAGTACAGTACATGGTGCTTTGTTTATGGAACAAGGTGCTTCTTTTCTTTAAGTAATCAGAATATCATAATATAACGATACGGAGCTGCAATTTTAATCCAACAGAAGAAGAGGAGGATTAACTTTACTCAGCCAATTCTCCGAGACTGACTATTCTCAATAATACACATTAATATAAGAAATACCTTTGTCTAGTATAATATTTAAGGTGCCTTTACATTTTTTGATTGTGATTATTCTCCAAAATTTGACCCTAGTGGTGAATTTCTTTTATTCAGTGGACAATTGCTAGTCTAAATAATGCTCCTGCTCTTGTAGAAAATATTTAATGAAACATCAACGCCTTGATGTTGAATCGATATATACAGTAGAAGAAGAATGTACTGTATGTTATTCTTGTAAACATTAAGTAAGAATTACAGATTACTTTCAGAGGCATGTTGAAACATACACATGACAGAACAACACCGTTTTATATTAAGGATGCCAAATATGGGCATCCCACTTAGTGGATTTAAATGCCACAAATAAAAATGGAGCCAGGAATGTGTGCTAAATACTAGGTCAAAATCAGGCAAAGACACCACAGGAGTCCTGATTCCACATTGTGATAAATTATTTTGCCACACTTTTATTTATTAGTCTCAATAAACGTCTAATTGACTTACAGATAAACAAGAGTGACTTTTATCCTAGTCATTCTAATGTTAGAGGGCCTTTGAAAAAGCTAGTTTTTAGCCTACAAAAACCAATTGCAGTGACATTTTGGTTGTAATTGATGAACAATATGACGTGGTGGTTAAAAAAGTACTGAAATTGTGGCAGTATTCCCCATGTGGTTAGTGTACTTGCATTCAGCTTCTGGACAGTTGGAAGCTAAAAGCATATTTGGAACGTGAGATAAAGAATGAGGGGAAAAAGGCGTGGAATGGGCACACCTCAGAAAGATTCCAGGCAACAGTGAAATAACACAGAGCATCAAATAAAAAGTGGTTTAGCGTCAACATTATTTTGTCAAGAATTTAATTTCATCTGATTACGTACATGTCTTACTGAGGGTCAGTCTAGAAATTGTTGTGTCCTTACTGATTGACATGTTTTCCTGCCCAAAGACATTCTTTTGGCCGCTGCCCATGACATATGTCACAGCCCAAAGTGTAAATAAGAGAATTAGTTCAATTTTTGCATTTCCTCTCCTGTTGATATATTTTTGTCTCACAATGAATTGGGGTTGTATTTGTTGACACTGTGTAGTCACAGAGCTTTCACTTCCTTCCACTCAGTGAAAGCCAGAGTCTGTAATCAGTCTGGAAAGAAGGAGCACGGACACCCTACTCTCCATATTGGTGATTGAAACATAGTGCCTGCGCAATTCAAGCAACAAAGGAAATTTACATTGTGTCTGAACAAATAAGTGTGTATCAAGCTGTTTCTATGGAAGCTTGTCTTTAACTCGCACAATGTACTTGTTGCTATTTACCATTGTCTCTGCATTTCACTTAAACTTAATTAACTGGATATCAACAAGGTTATTTCTTTCTCTTTATTTCTAAAATTGCAGGTCAGTCGATTTCTTATTTTTCTTATTTGGACCAACTACAGAGACGATTGTGCTGTTTTTTTAGATCAGCCTGTTTGACGATAACATCCATGTCATGTACTGTGTTCAATTGCTGTTGGTTTATGGCATTTTTGCATTGACGAGCAGTTTGCCAGGTGAATTCATTAATGGTGCCTGCAAGTGTAGCTTTCAACAGTTTCCCCCAGTGTGGAATCAATGAGTCAGTAAAGTTAAATGAAATCTAAACTGATCAAGGTCAGCAAACAGGTATGATTTTAAGAGAACGTACAGGGTTGTTTTGATGTAACAGTGCATATGATCATATACTAATATTTGAGAATAGCATGATAGCCAAATTGTTATAGTTAAAACAGGTGAGAGTTCGAGATGGTATTGATACCTCTATCATACATATACTCATACCAGGACTCTAAAATATGGCTGAATCAGTCACCTGATACTTCATAACACCAGCCACGACTAACTGTGCACAACTAAATGGCACAGTGGAAAAATGAGGTGTAAATCTTTTTTTGTTGATACTTATTTACCCAACATAGTTTGTTAATTTATGTGTATGAACGAGGAATTGATGCTACACAGTGCCATTTTGTTTAATGGAAAGCAGGAGATGGTGTTTAATTATTTGTTTTTTTCGATTGAAATGCGCTATTTATGTAAAAGCCCTGCTTCACTGAGTTATGTATTACATTAATCTTTTATTTGTGAGTATTTTGGAAAACTTGCAGAGGATAAACACTGCTAACAGACAAATATGGAGGGATGTCGTGTGAAGAGAGCATTTTAAATATTGAAACAGTCATAATCCTAAAAAATGCAAAAGAATACTCTTATGAAAAGTAAAAGACTGCAGCTAAGAGTCGATCCGCTTGTTTTATAGTCCAACCATCGAAGGTAACTGTAAATGCACTGTGTTTGTACAGACGTTTAACAAATGATATCACTGAGCCTTGGTTATAATTGGTTTTGCCTTGGATTCCGTGCCATTCCTGTCTTCTGTCAGTCTTGTGCCTTAGCTGCAGACGGCAGGATTGCTCTAGGGTTGCTCCTCGGTAGCTGACCCTGAGATGTGCAGCGCAGAGTTTCACTATGCCGATCAATATAGTATTTGATTATTTATCATCCCTCTCCATTTCTCTATTTCTTCCTCTCCATGACACGATTTGCAACACTGTATGGGTTTGTTCTTCACTAGGGTTCTTGGAGAAATCAATTCATGTAATACATCAAGAGAGAATCCATTTTTCCAAGCAGCAAAGCAAAACCCTTTAGTTACGTGTCTGTAACATGCTGTCCCTTTGTTGTCCTGCCTGTACAATGGGGTCTTGCAGGTTTCCCAGATTCAGTCTTGTTATTGTGAATCTGCTAATTTCCCTTTGTGCTTCTTAAATTTACTCTATCGTCTAGTCAAAAAGTGGAACTTTAATTTCAATATATGAAATAATTAACAATGACTAATTTATAGGTAGGTTATTACTTGCAATATAAAAGTCCAAAGAGCATCCTGACGAACACTTGAAATGAAAGGTTTTGAATGTCTTTGACAATTCCCTGAAGCCCATTACCTGTTTTAGAATTGTTTCTTTTTTTTAACAAAGCGTTTCGTCCCCTTTGCAAATGTTTGCAATTATTTTTTTTTTTACTTTGTCCTAAAGAGCAGTTTTAAACAGACTTTATGGACAATTTTTGTATTTATGTATATATGTGTGTGTGTATATGTATAAGCAAGCCTTACCTGCTGGAAAAATTCCTAGAGTTCCTTACATGTTGCACTTGACCTCCCTGACCAGTTTTCTTGTCTTTACATCAATTTTAGAATGCCGCCGTGACTTCTTCAGAATGACTCATTGAGCTCTGTGGAATTACACAGTTGCGTGTACCTTCTCCAGTTTGAGATGACTTGAAGTTCTGCAGTATATTTAGTAACTTTGAGATTCTTTTGTCACCTGCTGTTTAACAACACTCTCAAAACTTGACATCTCATTGATGCCGTGTTGACAAATTGGGAATCATTGCTTTAAGCAACAAAACTGTAAATGTCAAGGAAAACCTGCAACAACTACTGAACTTTATTTTTGATCAATCAGATTAATTTTATCTAATGGTGCTGTAGGTGTGTAGTGACCACCTTTAAGAACAGGTTTATGTGCAATTGGTAACTACTCATCAAGGGCACACAAGTGGCTCTGTGTAAATTTGTAACACATTATTTCAAGTTTTAGCTTTTTCTTTAATCATTTAACTTCATCTGAAATGTACACAACATATGTTCAACTATGGAACTTTTACTGAAATTATGCAGGTTTAATTGTTGGACTTTATTAAACTTTTCAATTTACCAGGCTTATGTAAACCTTTTCACTGTATCCTGTAACCTGTATTGAGTAGTTAGCCATTACTTTAATAATAAATAATAAACACACTGTCATTATATCAAATTGAGCCCAGTTATATAAAAGCATCATCAACTTCAAACAGGCACTGTGAATAAGCATAACATACCTTTCAGAGAAGCACAATCATCTGTCATTCAATAGAATGGCATGTTGAAAGTTCAAAACGTTCAACCAAATTACACAAACATTTCTTTTCCTTTTAGCACAACAATCATCCTATTAGTTTAGTTTATTCCTTGTAAAATTTACAGCTAGATGTTTGTTTTGATGTTGAACTAGAAATGCAGTAGTTCTCTTACATTTGTTATACGACAAAACCAGACCTTGTATAAAAACAATTTGTTGCCTTGCTTCAGCAACATGAGGCTGATTTTTTTTTCTTTTTCTTGTAGGTTTGTTAGACTCATGCTGACTGTTTACATAATCAGCTGCAGCTGCACCAGTTTGTCAGCAGGATAAACCTGACATTGAACCACCCATGGGGGTAGTACAGCAGACTCTAACTATTGGGGAGTAATAAGTAAACTATAGGTTATTATAGTGGTGCGTCTGACTTTGAGATGAGCTGATTGGAGGCAATGAGCATTTGTTCTATTGATCTTTCCACCATGACAAAAATGTTACCTAAAACCTGTTATAGGTATAGGATAGCTCACATGGAAGCCTACATTGTTTAACTTTGACTCAATTGTTTGTCTACATTAAGACAAAATAAAAAAAACACCTGGGTCAATTAAAATAGCAAAATAACATTTAATGTAAAAATTATATATAGCAAATATAGCATATTTGCTCTTTTTCTTCATCTTGATTGAGGAGCTAGTATGCCCATGTACTATGCATTATATGCTGTATGTTACGTGTGTATTTATACCCAGTTAGTTTAGTTTTTGTTACATAGCTCATTGGGACTTTTCGACTCTACTAGTATGAATAAAAACCACTGTAGATTTTAAGGTCTAGCGAGTCTTAATGTTTTTTCCACAGAAGCTATCTTCTACGTATTTTCTTGATTTACTGCAGGATGTTCTCATGCAGGACTTGCAGATAGTGTAATCTTTTTTCCCCATGCATCTGCACAGTGTTTCCTGCCACACAGCCACAATATGTCCACTCCAATGCTAAACCTTTAACAGCCAGCAACTAAGCAAGAGGCCAGGACATTATAATTAAGGTTATAGACTAACAGATACCAAAAATGTGCATTATAAGAAGCTCAGATTATACATGTTTATGTTTTGCACCTGAGTAAACATTCAGTGTACAAATATACCTATTTTTGTGAATTTGAGCTTATTTTATAGTTTGGTGAACCCTTGCTGAAGCTATTTATTTATTTCAACTCAGACCCGATCAAAATATTATTGTAATATTTTGTTTTGTGATACTGCACCAATATTCTACAGCGCTGTATTGATTTTTTATCGATATTTTCCATACATATATTTCTGTTTATGGTAGTGGTTAATTTTTGTGATGAATTTAAAACAATTTTCGTTCTTCATGTACAGCTGGTGACTGTTGATGTTGCAGAAAAAGATGTGCTATGTATGATTATGATGATACAGGGACTGCATATACAGTATTTGCAAGTATTTGAGTCAAATAATCATAAAAAAGTTTTATTTTCTAGATATTATAAATCTGATAGATTCTGTTCCAGTTTTAGTAACCTGATGCTAAGCATGTAACAGCATTGTGTGTTAACTCTGGTGACAGTTTTCCTACAGTTACATTTTTTTAAAAACCCTTAATATATTGTTGTGCCTGTAGTATCACAGTATATTGTGTTATTGCCTGTGTGTTGTGAAAATGTTTTGTATTGCCAGATCCTTGCCAATACTCAGCCCTTGTCAGTACAATGAACTACAATTGTAAACTGTTGTGAATATAGTTAGGCCTTTCAGTCTTCATCTACACCTTGTGTTTAAAATCAACTCGGATATGTTATATTAAATTAACAGCACTGCTGCAGTATCCACTCCACCAACACAGTTATGGTTGACCTGAGGTCAATTCATTATTCTCTGGGTGCAGTTTACTCCTTATTACTGTGGACCACCTCATGGGGCCGGACACAAAATCAATTTTAGGGCCCAAATATTTGCCTCGCCTGGTGTTCCAGCATCTTATACACCTGAAAGAAATTGCTGATGTAATGTGAACTAATGCACTTGTGATGATTCTGCATCTTGTAGATTATATAAGGGCACTAGATGATGATGTGAGGAGGTCACTGATCACCCTCAAGAAACTTTGTGATGTTTATTGACTCTACTTGATTCATCAGATGCTGGGATTCTGGGTGAAATTACATCACCAGAAAACAGTGTTAAAAAAGTGTTATTTCAAAATCACAATGAACCTAACATAAATAGGCTGACTAGCTTTTAAATGTCTGGCTGTGGATGTGCATCATGTTGTTAATGGAGGATGAGGTGGCGTTGTTACATGGACAACAGATCATTCATTTTTCTTTCTCTGTCCCTCAGGCTTTCCATGTGCTGACTTTTAAGACCCATTCATCACTGCAGATGAATCTTCAGCTGCCTTGGTGTAGCTCAACACCCAGATAGTCCCATCCCCTTTCATTGGGTGATAGGGGACTACAAATACCAGGATGCCCTCCTCTGTAAGAGCAGGGAGCCTGAAGGATCCGGAGGTGGCCGAGCTTTTCTTTAAGGAAGATCCAGAAAAGCTCTTCTCTGACCTCCGAGAGATCGGCCATGGCAGCTTTGGTGCTGTCTACTTTGTACGGCAACTACACCTTCTCACACAGTCCTGAAAGAATAACATGTCCTAAATTTTATGGTTGTAACATGGACTTTGTGTTTGTCAGGCACGAGACATACGCACAAATGAAGTTGTGGCAATTAAAAAGATGTCCTACAGTGGTAAACAGTCGAATGAGGTGAGACAAAGTTGTGCATTGCTTCTGTAGTGTCTTGTTCCTTCATGCTGTGCAGAACTGAATACATTGCTCCAGGATGTTTAGTACAGTTTTTAATTTAAGTAACTTTGTAAGAAATGTTTTAAAAGGGTCAGATCTTTGTACGTACCTAATGTTTTTTACAGAACACAATTTCAGGTAGGATAAAATCAGATTATGCAGAATCATTGAGGAGTGTTAATAATGTATTGCTGTCTATCTTTCTTTGACAGAAATGGCAGGACATCATAAAGGAGGTGAAGTTCCTACAGAGAATCCGTCACCCCAACAGTATAGAATACAAAGGCTGTTACCTCCGAGAGCACACAGCATGGGTATGTCACAACTATATTTATGACATAATGTGTTTTTAATTATTTATTTATTTTTCTATTTTGTCTGTTGCGTGTGCTTCATATTTTGTTTCTTTTTTTAATCTGTTATTTTTAGCTGGTAATGGAGTACTGTCTTGGTTCGGCTTCAGATCTGTTAGAAGGTGAGCAGTAATTTTATTTTTCTCTTGTGACAGATTTAGATTTCCATCTATGATGGGTGTAAGGCAAAAAGGAGCCTCTATATGGCTGTTATATGTTACCCAAAAAAATTCAGTTGGATGAATTTGTCTGATTTGTTTTCTCCCAAAACCTTTTTCTTCTGTAGTTCACAAAAAACCTCTACAAGAAGTCGAAATAGCTGCCATTACTCATGGTGCTCTGCAGGGGCTGGCCTACCTTCATTCCCACAACATGATCCACAGGTGCAAGATTTTTTAGAATACCTTATTGATTTTTATTTTCTCTGTAGATGGCATAGTTGGGCTCTAAAAAACAATATATGATTTCCCATTTTTCTCTCTCAGGGATGTGAAGGCAGGAAACGTTCTGCTGACTGAGCCAGGGCAGGTCAAATTGGCAGACTTTGGCTCCGCCTCCATCGCCTCACCTGCAAACTCCTTTGTAGGAACTCCTTATTGGTGAGTGAAAAGGGAAAACTTGTGGTCACATGTGGGTTAAATGTTCCACTCTCCAAAAATAATGAATTTAAGAGATGTCTCAGTTGACTGCTTGTAGAGTCAATGATTCATGAAATGGATTTGCCTTTAAAGGCATTTGCTTCTATTTGTGTAACATGGCAGTAAAGAGCTGGGTGTAGAGGAAGCCAAGACTTTACTGCTGTGTGAGAGCATAATGTATGCACAGGGTTAAAAAGTCATCTTCAAGAGGGGGTAGCAGCTTTTTAGATGCTAATAATGCTGCTGACAAACAACAAGGATGAGTCATGAAAACCATCAGTGATTATTTACTTACATGGGAGGAAGCAACAATGACTGATCATCTATGAAACGTACCTGTCTTTCTCCACCATGTCTTTCAGGATGGCTCCTGAGGTCATTCTTGCAATGGATGAGGGCCAGTATGATGGCAAGGTGGACGTCTGGTCTCTGGGTATTACCTGTATAGAATTAGGTAATTTTACTGTTACTGTTACCTTACGAGTTTTGTATGTTAATAATGTAACGCAATTTTTTAATCTCTTTTAATGTACATAGATAGCTAAGTCTGTTTCAAACACCATTGCACACATACTCCTGAGAGAGCTTTACATTGCAACGGTTGTTAAGCAATACATCCACTAGCCAGAGGCTACTACACATAACCTATGATGCATGAGCCATGATGTCGAAGGGAAAGATTCAACAATAGCAGTGTATCTCTATCAGTAGATATTGCTAAATTTGACACAGTAATTTTCATGCTATACAATTCTGGGGAATGTGACACAGTACATAGGTGAGGGCTGTACCCAATGCCTGCCTCTATAACTTGTACTGACTGTTGTTTTGTTTGCAGCGGAGAGGAAACCTCCTTTGTTTAACATGAATGCAATGAGTGCCTTATACCACATAGCGCAGAATGAAAGCCCCACGCTGCAGTCCAGTGAATGGTAAGGTTCACTTTCACACACTAAAATCAATAAAGATCTTAATGAATGCTGTCTGACAGTCATGAGTAAATTCTGGTTTTGAAACTATTGTAAAGGCAGAGCACTTCACGTTAGACCATGGGGCCACTTACTAGAGTGTTGCCCACATACAAAACTTTGAACATTTTGCAATTTAGTATACATTCATTGAGTCAAAGATGGTTCTGTAGTCCATATTGTGAAATGTCAATGACTGTTAAATGCAAGTATAGTGAAATGTTTATTTTTTTAAGTAAAACCCTCAGTTTTTGTTTTGATCCCATATCCCATTTCAACTGTGTTTCAGGACGGATTATTTTAGAAACTTTGTGGATTCTTGCCTTCAGAAAATTCCCCAGGACAGGCCTCACTCAGACGACATGCTGGGTGTAAGTTCACACTTAATGAATTTTTCTCAAGTCAAAGTGATGTGCTTTTTTATTTTGAGATGGAAGATTTTTAGAAGCTCTTGTTGTGAGTCAGATACTCTCTTTGTCGGAGCAAAAATCTTTATTTTGATTTACTAGTTCTTCTGCTTTACTATTTGCACACTACAACATGCGTACAAGCTAATTTCTGATTTAAAAAATAATTTCCATCCAAGAAAAAAATTCAACTGCAATTTGATTGACAGTTACTTAAGATATTGTCATAAAATTCTTTTTACTTCAGTATACTGCATTTTAAATTATTTTCTTTATCATTTCAGTTCAAAAGTTATAATTTGTACATCCATTAAAATCTTTTCATAAATTGTATTTTAATTCTAAGGACCTTCTAAGGATAAAAGATTACCTTAAATTTGTTTTGCATCACCACTAGCAGAGGGCAAAATTCTACATGCACCACTGAGCAACAGTAGTAAGAAAACCTAGACGCACACACGCATTTATGCAAACTGCCCCCCAGAAAGGCCCAAATCAGTGCAAACCACTACATGAGCGAAAATATTACTGTCCTACACTTAACCTTTCACCAAAATTATCCAAAATCTTACATGTTCAATATTAATGCCAACACTAGAATAACCTTTTGGTAAATGTCTTCTGACTTCCTCTCCAGCATGCATTTCTGCAGCGTGAACGCCCAGACTCTGTGCTAATGGATCTCATCCAGAGAACCAAGGATGCAGTACGTGAGCTGGATAACCTGCAGTATCGCAAGATGAAGAAGATCCTACTCCAGGAGGCTCACAATGGACCTACAGTAGAAGCCCAGGATGGAGATGAGGTGTGTGGACGTTTTTATGACGATTGCAAATGAAAGCTGAACTGTTGTTTTTAATGAATAAAATGCATTTGTTGCTGTGAGTGTCTTTAACCAAGTCGAAAATAAATAATTGAGCATGTATTATTTGCATGCATATCTGTCCATGTCCTCTGTGTCTGTCTTTTGTTCTCTGTCTATCCGTCCCGCCTCTCTGTGCTCTTTTCTGTCTGTCTCCAGGAGTTGGAGCCAGGCGGAGGTCGAACAGGAACAGTGAACAGCGTTGGCAGTAACCAGTCCATCCCCAGCATGTCCATTAGTGCCAGCTCTCAGAGCAGCTCTGTCAACAGTCTGAATGAAGCAGCTCAAGATAGTCGCAGTGAGATGGACCTTATGGAGGGAGACCAAACTGTCATGTCCAACAACTCTGTCATACACCTCAAACCGGTGGGTGAAGCGTGCACCTTAACAATTGTAACTTGGATAACAATAACAACTTTTCTCTGACAAAAAAAAAGGTAAATAACATAAAATCACTATAGCAGTCCAAAAAGATAATTTAAAAAAACAGTGTGAACCACATTAGGAAGTAAAAATGACACCCAGAACTTCCTATTACAGCCTAATTAAGGTGTAGTAATCCTGTGGTTATGTTTTAATTTTTAAGGTTTATAATTAAGTTGTACGAAACAATTATTTCCTTTAATTACCCTTGTTGTTTCAGAGACATGTTGTCATTTTTTTTTCTAAGAACCAAGTTAAATGGTAATCAGAAAATAAGGCAATGATTGAAACTGTAATCAATCTTAAAAATTCACTAAAATACTTTACTTAAACTGCGGAAACAAAAGTGGAAACTAACTAAACATGTTCATGTTTGAGACCAGAAATGTTCTTTTTTGTAAACAGTTGTGTGTCATGGTTTCTATTTACATCAATTTCACCTGTATCAAGTCTGTAAATTTTACCGCCCCAACATTTTGACGCTAATACAGTATTTTTCCGTGCCTGTTGTTTTTATTTGAAAGAGTTTTACTAATACATTTTTAATATGTAATTCTTGGCTCCAGGAGGAAGAGGAGAGTTTGTCTGGGGAGCAGGCAGCCAGCAGTCAACCCTCTGAGCCCCAGGCCACACCAGCTCAAGCCCCAAGGAAGCACTACCGCAACAGAGAGCATTTTGCCACCATACGCACAGCGTCACTTGTGAGAATATATTTTATCCTCCTATCTATTGCATTTGTCATTATTGGGGCTGTCAAACAGTTAATTTGGGGATGTAACAGTGCATTGTGAATTGGTTAAAAAATCAATACAAAGGCATAACCATTAAGTGACATTCAGGTATTCAAATAGAACGTAGGAAGAACTCCTTCCACAGACACCAACAGTGTTTTACTGTAATTTTATATTATTTTGTTGTTTAATATGGCAGTTAGCACGGTAACTAAGACCAAGTAGATATATGTCGATGTCAATGTTTCTGTAAGGAAAAGTACATTTTTTTTCAATCTTTAATTTAGGATAACAACCATGGTGATTCTTTATGACATCTAAAAAAATCTTCCAGGTGACCCGAGAGATGCAAGAGCATGAGCAGGATTCCGAGCTAAGGGAGCAAATGTCAGGATACAAACGCATGAGGAGGCAGCATCAAAAGCACCTGATGGCCCTGGAGAATAAATTGAAAGGGGAGATGGATGAGCACCGGCTGAGATTGGACAAAGAGCTGGAGAGTCAGAGGAGCAACTTTACCCAGGAGATGGAGAAGCTGCTGAAAAAACACCAGGCAGCCCTGGAGAAAGATGTATGGCAATATATAGCACTACAAAAATGCAACCCTAAATATATGCAAACAGGTTTCCTTATCAATAACAATTTTGCCTTTTTTTTGTTTAGCTGAAGACATTCACCAATGATGAGAAGAAGTTCCAGCAGCACATTCAGGTGCAGCAGAAGAAGGAGTTGAGCAGCTTCCTTGAGTCTCAGAAGCGAGAGTATAAACTACGCAAGGAGCAGCTCAAAGAAGTAAGTCCATGACCTTCACTGTGACTCCATCAGCCGATGCAAAACAGTAACCAAAAGATGTTGTGGCATTTGCTCAAAATTCATTCATGCATCCCATTAGTGTTGTTAGTCGCTCATTTGAGCAATTTAGGAGAACCAGCAGTGTCAGGGTTACAGTGAATCTTTTGTGAGCTGCTCTTTCATATTGGCCGGTGAATAATAAGTAAGGCAACCAAAAGACGTAGAAGTAGAGAGAATCCAACCAAACGAAAATCGGGGATTACTACTTTTTTTCTGGTCAATATATTGGAAAATTAACTGGACTCAATGACTGCCTTCACTTGCCAGGATTAATTATTTAATTCCCTTGGAGTTATTTTTCTCCTGATCTTAACCTAAATGCATTAAATAATTGAGAACTGTTAGTTAAGTTGTTGTAGCAGTACAGGATGTTCTGTAAAAAAACAATTAAACAATTACCTATTTTCACATTACCGATGGTTGAAGAAAGTGTATTGACAAGTAAAATTAAATACATTTAAACCTGAATCTTGAAATCAGAAATCAACATGATTTTTACTGCAGTTACTTTATTCATTATTCTTCAGTGTTAATGCAAAGACAGTTTGATTTTCTAACACAAATATACTGAATCTTCTGTGTGACAGGAACTTAGTGAGAATCAGTCAACACCCAAAAAGGAGAAACAGGAGTGGCTGTCCAAGCAGAAAGAGAACATCCAACACTTCCAGGTAAGATTGCTTACCACACATATATCCTGAGGTGAATACATAAATATTAGAGCTCAATCTATACGTTATATTATACCAAACTGTTCGGTTCAGGTTGTAAAGTACAAGTGTGTATTGAACGAATATTTGGTACACATATGTTTGTGGAGGGTAACCGTGTTATTATATTTTTTAATATAATATCTTAAAGGCTGTCCTTTTACTCACTCTTAAGAGTCAAGATATAATTAATGGAATCAGCAGAGTCTAGTCTAATTGCCCGCACAAAACCTTTTTCTTTCTAGGCGGAGGAGGAGGCCAACTTGTTAAGGAGACAGAGGCAGTATCTGGAGCTGGAATGTCGGCGATTCAAGCGAAGGATTCTTATTGCCAGGCACAATGTGGAGCAGGATCTGGCCAGAGAGGTGCTCAAGCAAAGAGAAACACAACCAATATTGAGTCATTGTTTCTGTTAAATAGTTTTTTGTTTTTTTTTTTCATATTGCTTTTTCAAATCTTCATTTGCAGGAGCTCAATAAACGTCAGACTCAGAAGGACCTGGAACATGCCATGTTGCTCAGGCACCATGAGTCAATGCAGGAACTGGAGTTCCGGCACTTGGGCACCATTCAGAAGGCACGGGCTGAGCTCATCCGCACACAGCACCAGACGGAGCTCACCAATCAGCTGGAATATAACAAGAGGAGGGAGAGGGAGCTGAGGCGCAAGCACGTAATGGAGGTCAGACAACAGCCCAAAAGCCTCAAGGTAACTGTTTTTCCTTCTGTTGTACTGCAATATCCATATATTTCTTTCACGCAGTTCCCACAACAAATCAATACTTTTCTTTTTTTTTTTTCTTTCTCAGGCCAAGGAGCTTCAGATTAAGAAGCAGTTCCAGGAAACGTGCAAGACTCAGACCAGGCAGTACAAAGCCCTCAGGAACCATCTACTGGAGTCCACGCCCAAGTCTGACCACAAAGCTGTGCTGAAGAGACTAAAGGAGGAGCAGACCAGAAAACTGGCCATCTTGGCTGAGCAGTATGACCACTCCATCAATGAAATGCTGTCCACACAAGCTGTGAGTCCCTGAGAAGAAAACGTAGTTGAAACATCACTCTATATTTAAACCAGATTTTTAAAAATATATATTTAATGAAAATATTTACCAATTTTTTTTTATTTAGCTCCAGATGTTACTACACTTGACTTGGTATGAACGTGATATGGCCACGCAGACTGCCCAGTCTAATCCTAATGCTCACAGAGTTATATGGAAATTATACAGGAATAGTCGCTGACAATGAACAAGAAAGTGACTTTGTATTTGCTGGGCTGTAAAAAGCTCTTTATCTCTGTGGTAGCAGCGCTGACACTTTCAGCTTTAAAACTGAGACAGTCGGGAAGATTGTTTTGTCCTAGTTTCATCCTACTCTGCCCTTGTTGTCCACAGTGAATAGACAGTTAAGACAAGTCTGGAACACTGATGTTTATTTCTGTTTTTCTTTTGCACAACCCTCATACTGTCTGCCCTCGTAGATCAGTCACTTGCCTTATCTGTCAGGATCTTTTGTGTGTAGTCAGTCTATTTAGGTCATTCGTTCAGGAAAAATTAAAAGTCACAGTCAAAGTGTGATATCGTTGTACTTTTAACTCAGCATTAAATTGATGAGTTTGCATTGTGGAATTCCCTGTATATTTTGTAAACATGTAATTAATATCAGGAAGTCTTAATTGCTCTCTGTTGCTGAAAATGATCTGCTGTCACAGGTGCATTTTATTTCATATCTATCAAATGGATGTAAATGTGAAGCCACGCAGGATTAATGAAAACATTTTTCTCATTGTCATCCTATGTTTCTCTCTCTTTCTATTTTTCTCCCTCTTTCTCTTGCCTGCCCACAGCTGCGGTTAGATGAAGCCCAGGAGGACGAGTGTCGGGTTCTGAGGATGCAACTGCAGCAGGAGCTGGAGCTGCTCAATGCATATCAGAGCAAGATCAAGATGCAAACAGATGCTCAGCACGACAAAGAGAGGAGGGAGCTGGAGCAGAGGGTTTCTCTGCGGAGGGCGCTGCTGGAGCAGAAAGTAAGGGACTGGAAGTTTCCCTGTTCAGTGTTGCTTGCGTGTTGTGCTGTTAACTGACGTGTCCGGTTTTTTTTATTAGGTTCAGTCAGGTAATTTTTGTGGGAAACAGGTGATAATTTACTCATTTTCTTACCTTATTTTTTCCCCTTAGATTGAAGAAGAAATGCTCGCCCTGCAGAATGAACGCCTGGAGCGGATCCGCTCACTGCTTGAGCGGCAGGCCCGGGAGATCGAGGCCTTTGACTCTGAGTCTATGCGGCTCGGCTTCAGCAATATGGTGCTCACCAACCTTGCACCAGATTCCCAGGGAGGCTGGGGAGGTGGAAGTGGCGGAGGAGGAGGAGGCAGCGGCCACGGGGCCCAGGGGGGAGGCCAGTGGCCTGGAGGAGGAGGTGGCGGACACCATAGTCATCACCACCAGGGGAGCTCCAGCTCACAGCAGCCATGGGGTCATCCAATGCTGGCTGGGGGTCCGCCACCCTGGAGCCTCCATCATCCAGGAGGAGGGAGCCAGAGAGGAGGCGGAGTTGGAGGGGTGAGAAACAGCCCACAGGTTATGAGGAGGACGCCGTCGGGGGGCAGGAACGAACAGGGCATGAGCAGGAGCACTAGCATCACCTCTCAGATCTCCAATGGATCTCACCTGTCGTACACCTAAACACATACACAAACAGCAACTAAACAGAAACACAGTTGTTATCATCACACTTTAACTGCGCTCAGATAACACTGTACACAGACGCACATACACACAGCCATGCATGGACACGACATGCTTCACATTCACTTTACTGCAGTGCGTAGACTGTGTTTATATAAGTCCAGTTTCCCCCTAATCACAACTGCTCACAACACTGAACTGCTGACTGCACTCTGTGGAAACCCAACAGTCCTTCAACAAACCCAAGATAATTAGTAAAAAATGGTGCAATAACTAAGTTTTACCACAGTTTACTACAGTGCTACTTTTTCGGTGTTTACAGTTTCATTTTCAGCTGCAATGAATTTTAAATGATACTTTTAAGTTTTCAATTTTTTTATTTCCTGGTATTGTTAATAAGTCGGGGGGGGGTGTTTTCTTTTTACAGTTTGCTTTTAAATTGCACACAACAGTAAAGGATATCTGATACAGTCGGGGAAAAAAATTTAAGTCATTCTTGTGATGTGAATCAAGGAATCAAATTCATAGGAAGTTTAAGTGAGATTTCTGTTTTGTGTAAGTAAGGCAGTAGTGTCTAAGTATAGTTTTAATGCATGCTTGAAAGGACCAATGGGCCTCATTTACTTACTGTGCAGTACAGTAAGTAGTTCCTTTACAAAGGAAATATTAATTGATCAATTGATAATTCAGTTATCATATTTTTTTCTTCATTGGGGGTTGCGTGACCTTCATCTTTAGTCGATACCTCGTCACTTTATTTCAATAATAAAATATATCCACAGGCACAATCTGTAAAACTCTGTTAGGTACAAACTAGTACTACATTACATCCTGCTGTGATTTAAGGTGCACACCTTTCTTGTGTGCTGGACAAAGAATGATTTGCAGTAAATGAGGACTAAGGTTTTTAGGTGGAAATCAAGCATCTATCAGACAAGAATTCTAACCAGAAAAAATTCTTAGTGCAGTTTTTTATTTTTTTATTTAATTCATTAGTGCCATGAAGGTTGTACGATGGTTGTACAGTAGGGAGGTGTAGTCAATAATTTTTAATGATAATGTGAGCGATTCAGTTGTGAGTTTACCTTTAAATCTGTTCTGTGCTGGACTGGTTGTGAACGTTTTGGACTGGTTGGTTACAATTCTTGGGTTTCCACAGACCTGCTCCTCACACACACAAACCTGCGCAGTGTACGGTCCCACTAGGTCAGGGGTCTGCAACATTTATCAAAACAAAGATTTTACCAGCAAATAAAATTGAGAGAGAGCTGCAAAAACAACTTAACCATCTATGCTATGGCAGAAGTATAGTGTTTTTAGTACTGTAGTAATACTACAGATTTAAACACGAGGGAAAAAAAACAAACCATTTATTACTGTTTAAGCACTTTTATCACAATGAAAACAAAAAAGGTTCCAAATTTCTAAACACAGGCAATTATCAAATCCAGAACAAAAGTAAGGCACACTCTATAACCGCTTACACTGATCAGAAGTCGACATTGCTTTATCGGCTTAAAAATGGCACATCTGATTTAGGTTAAGAACATGGTGTCATGATGTTGATTTTCTATTAGCAAACAATCTGAAAATATAGTGTGCTGTGTAAAATCAGTTTAACCTTTATTTAAAAACAAAACAAACAAAAAAAAAAGTTGCAAACCCCTTTTCAGAGAAAATAATTTTTTAAGTCTACGACCTGACCTCCAGGACTAGTTTTTCAGCAGCAGCATACCTTTACTTGAATAGTTTGGTAACTGTGTGTTCTCCTCAATTGTTTGTAGTATGTTTCTGCTCCAATGTGGCACTGTTAAAAAAAGAAAAGAAAAGAAAAATCAGTATCTCAATCTGAATGGAAACTTGCCCATCTGCCTACCTCAAGTAGTGCATCACCATCAGGTGTCGTACTAGGGCTGTTGGAACGAATTTTTCTTGTCGGAACCCAAGCTGAGTATAGTGAACTTAACGCAGCTTCAACACTGTAATTACTGTTTTAAATGTGAATTTTTAACAATCCCGCGCAAGATCGGTTGTACAGGCATCTGGCTGGCTCATGTCGTGTAGAAATTATAGCCATTTTGTGTGTGCTACAACGGTGCCGATGTTAGTCAAACAAAGAAATGCGTACTCCTTCAACAGGAAGTCTTTGCTTGTGGCGTTGCTTCAATTGAGCTTGGTGTGGCAGACGCTGAAAATGTTCAGCTTTCACGCTGTACAAGTGCCATGTACGTAAGCCAAGTTAATGAAAATAATTCTGCGCAAATATTAACTCTACTAATTAGGATTTTGTTTTTTCTGTGTTAAGTCGAGCTTTAGAACAAATGCTGTAACAGGCAGTGCTAACGTCGCTTCAAGCTACACTTGCAATTTTTTGCTATGAAGAACAATGAGATTCAGAAGGTGATTAGAGAGACTGACAGCCCTAGTCATGACCCGTCAGTTAGTTGCACATAAGCGTTAACCCAAACAAAATGTTAAATGTCAAATTAACACAGATGTATTCGTCATCTGGGTCGTTTCTTCGTGGTCTTGGCTGAGGAATTTTTATACAGGGTCACATATAAAAATTAAATTCTCAAATTACACATTTTAGGTCAATGTCAGTTTCTTTTTAACACAACAGCTGTCTATTGAAAGTCACCCATGTGTTTTGTTTTACAATTCTACATAAGATAATTCACATGACACTCAGTGGTCACACTCTGAAGGAGGTGACCACTGAGTGTCATTGGGTGGTGATGCTGTGATCTCCGCTGCCATGCCGCTGCAACCTCCCCTGGACTGACACCCCGCTCTGTCTCACCCCAAGAACCTCACCCTGGCTTCTTCCACCTCTTTCCTTTCCCTGTTGTAATTTAGAAAAGTTCTTCAAGTGACAGAAAAAATATATAAATATATATATATATATATATATATATATATATATATATATATAAATATTAAATGGACTATAAATATTAAATGGACTATAGTAAATGGAGGTAAGGTTGGTGATATTATTGTGAAATGCCAAGCAAATGCATTATAATATTTTCAGAGGTGGAATGTACAGTAGGACCTGTTAATAATGTATATTTTGAATTTGAAATTAAGAATCTCTAATCAACAAATCAAGGACAAACGAACTTGTGACGCAGTGATGTTTCTCTTTTTCTTTTTTCAACCAGTGCTGTTTACACAGCTCACAGCCGCTGGGCTTCACTGTCTTACGAGACTAGTTACGTTTGTTCTGTTGTGGATGACGACCACACAACTCTAGGTCAGGTTGCCTCCAAGTAAAAGGCAACATTTTGATATTTGCTGAACTACGATGAGTTTGCACATGATTTGAAAACGCGGCATATATTACTGACATTTAAGCACCTGTGTTTTTCAGCTGCTGAGTTCTTAAAGTTTTGGCTGCACAAATAACAAAGTGCACTCCTCAAAATCCTGAATTCTTTTCTTGCACAAAACTTAAAACTTTTTCTTAAAACATCAAAGGTTACTTTCGATGTTGATGCTAATCAGAATTTGAGCTCCCATTGCTTTTACATTAAGTTTCAAATTCACAACTGGATCCTGTATTTTCTTCAAGAACTTAACAGCAGAGTTTTTTTTAAGCGTTTAACCAATAAAGAGAATCGTATATCTGCAGAGGGCCAAACAAGTGGCATAATTTTAGACTTTGTATTTACCATTTACTAAAACTCTCCCTTTATCTCAAGGCAGTTTGAGCAGAGTCTAGCTTCAGACCTTGGCCGCTCTGAACTGGATCAGTTGCGCTGACTGTTGCACAAGTGATTGACCAGATAAAAGAGTCTACTGTGATCCTCCTCAGTCTGCTGAGAGGTGGCTGCCATTGGCTGAGGGTAGGCAGGGTTATCTTTTCTCTCTGTACAGTCTGTTAATCAGTATTACTTTTACCTTCCCTGTCACTTGGTGGATGTTGCCGTTTTATTATCCTTGGTCCTCAGACCTGTATTAAATTGTATAGATTGTGCAAAAAGCTGAATGTTGCATAGCAGAAGAGAAAAAGTTATTCCATACAAATGACAAAGTGATTTAAAAAAATGTATAAAAGAAATTCAGAAACAAAGTTTAGGGGATAAATGTAATATTTTGTTTGTAATTACTATTTTTTGTTGGAAGAGGGCTACTGGATAAAAAAATCAACTGTAATAAAGTAATTTTAATATTTCTTTGTGCTATGTGATTTTTTTTTTGTTTAGTGCTTAAACGTACAATTAAGTCAAAGTAATTTGTTTTGTTTTTTTCTTTCCCTTAGGGGTTAACTGACAGCTTTGCAACCTAAGAGTGACGTTACTGCCACCTACTGGATTTGTTTTAAACTCGTTGATATTTACATCCAGAAAGCAAGAGAAAGAAAAGGCAGGGGAAAAACCACATAAGCACAGCACCACCTACTAACTGCCCCCTAACTGTGGACTGACTCTTGTTTCTACATAAAGGAATTCGACAAACTGTAATATAAGATGTTTACCTTAATTTTCTCTGTTGGTCTTGTCCTCCACCCTCTCTTTCCTCAGCGGGTGTAAGACCTTTTCCAAGTGAAGTTCACTTCTTCTGCATCAATGTTGCTCTGTACATTCCCCTGTGGTCTTGGTCTTCTCAGCACAGTGGATCTTCTGTGCAGATGAACTGTGCTGCTGCTGCTCTTGTTCCTTTGCCCAAACAGATTATATTCTCCTCGTGAGCTTGCCAAGATTCCCAGATCCTGCTCCTCACCTTTAAGGAAATCAGCCACTACTCTAAAAAACCCCAGGACGGCAGTGTGACTCCAGCAACCTCCACCCACCTCCTCATTTTTACTTGTTTCTCCCTCTTTATCACCTTTGTCTCCTATGTTGAATCCACAGTGCCCTCCCTTCTCTGTTAAAACCAGAAAGAAGTAAGGGTTGCTCTGGAAAAGTGTGATGGGTAATGTGGAGGCCGGGGGGAGGAGAGGGTTGTCACGGCTGCATATACACAGCACTGGCACGGCCACTTCATCTGCGTCCCTCAGTGGTTCGTTCCTCTCCCAGTAACTGTCCCAGTCCTTAGCCGGATCAGCTGTCTCCCAGGCTCCATGTTCCCGATAGTTCTACGCCCGTGGCACGATGAGGACCAGGTCTTAATCCTGAGTTTAAAACATGTTGTAGATTTAGTTTCTTCAAAGGCTCGGAGAGAGGACAAGCTCAAAACCCGGTCCACATCAAGGACGGTTCTGAAGGAACTTGTATATCTGACACAGACGCACAAGGATGTCAGTTATTCCTCTTATTGTCTACATTTCAGACATGTCACTGTGGCAAATGTATTAACTTTTATATTACTGAAATTTCCCTTACCGACAGAGCTGCAGTTTCCGCTGAAACAGTGCCCCCCAGCGATAAATAGGAAGCATAACGGTTTCAAACCAGAGTTGACCCAGAAGCACTGGTGAAATATCTGCAGCTGCAGTCAGGTATGTGCCTGATCCACATTCACCTAAGTAGGAGAGAAGAATCCCTGAGCTTGAACCCTCACTTACTGCCACCAGCACAGAGGACGGGTGACAGCTATGGACATATTCCACCACCTGAAAACACATTCAAAAACATAGTGTCATTTTTGATAACGTTCTTAATGGGAAATACATTATCATTAGTAATAGAAAGAGGTATTACATCCCTCCAATTTTACAATATATGTATATAACTTTATTTTGAAAATTAAAAAGGTCAAAAATTTGAATTTAAGTGGAAATGTCACTGATGGGCTGTATGGTGTGTGGCATGACCGCCCCAATAATTAGCATGGCTGCCTTTGTTTTGTATGATTAAGCAAATAGTTCCAACATTTTTAAAGTTTCTGTCTTATTTAGACATGAAAAAAAATCCCAGAATCCACATAAAAAAAGACTAAATGTGACGGTCAGACGGACAACAAGCAGGTGACCTTATTTATTGTAAGGCATTTATTCCATCATGGGGCTCAAGTTAGAAACTAAATGCTGTAACACAGTGTTCCTTACATATTGTTTTGCCTTTTTTGTTGATCACAACTACTAATTATAACAAAGCGCAGCGACATTGGTGATTGTAGTTGAAACTCATCAACACGCAGTGCAGATGTTAGATGTCTGGTTCTCACTCACAGATAGAGTTACTATAACTGTAGATGTCGTCTTCTTCTTGTGACCTGAACCTGATCTCCAGGAAGAGTGTCAAAAAAAAGCTGTTTTTTGTTGTGTGTTAAAAAATTACCTCTTTTTTTTTTACTGGGTTCAAATTTTCTACTGCATGTCAAATTTAGATGAACTTTCATCTTGTTTATCCATCAATACCATTTGGGTTCTTCTCCAAACTTTCTTTTTTCCATCACTGTGGTACATCTGTCGGTGAAACTAAGATTAATTGCATTCAAATTAAAAATTCAATATATAGAATTTGTTCCCATGTGATGTCGAGAATTTGATCTACCAGCAACACTAAGGCACTGTGTATTTCAAAATCTGGCTGCAGCTATTAAAAAATTGTCAATGATGACTGCATTGGTCTCAGTCATTATCACCATGTTTGCATTGTTACGGCTTTTCTTATGATACACTTCTGACCAAATGAACAAATGTTGTTTTTTTTTAATAAATTCAGCCTAAAATTAGTTAATATTATTAAATAGCTAATGCATGAAAACATGCTTCCAAGTGAATATGTGCAAAAAACCTCCAAAAACATTATATCTCAACATGTCAAAATAACACCAAAAAACAAGCAAGACTAAAGTCGTACTATCACGAAAAAATTAAAAGTCGCGCTGATATTGGAACGTTTGTATAACGGAAATAGGACTACGTTGTACGGCCCTTATTTCCGGTTGCGGATCCGGCGCATGGGATGCGAGTGTTAGCCGTTTGGGCTTCCAGCGGGCGTTCAAGTAAAAAAACTGGGCACAGTGGCTACATGTGATTGATTGAAATGGTGGGTTTTTTTTAAAACAATTGTCGGTTGTATTCATCCATCCATTGTCGGTTGTATTTTGTTTGAAATTGTAGTCGTTCGATCGAGACCGTTAGTGCAAATTACGTTAGCATGTGTGTCTCGGCAGCTAACGTTAGCCTTTGTCAGACGTTAAAATGATTCGTAGTTAGTTTTTCGTGCTAAATCGTGAATATAAAGTTGTCGTGGTGAATAAGAAATTAGCATTTGACAGGAGTTTGAGCTGGGCTGATGCACCTATTTGAAAATAGGAAATTAACTTGCAAATATTGCTTTTCTGTACAGAAACCCATCCTACTGCAGGGCCACGCACGGTCCACCACTCGGATGAAGTTCATTGGAGAAGGAGACCTCCTGTTTTCCGTCGCTAAAGATCCGGTGAGTGACACGAAATGATTGCGCTTAACAAGTGCCACCAATGACTATAGGATAAGTAATTAGTTTGACTTTAAGAATATGGAATGTCCATGTGAAGCTACAAATGGCAACACGACTCTGTGTTGTTACAAACCAAAGGCTATATGCTCTATAGTGTGTATGATATGAAAAGCATACTGTAATCATAAAAGGGGACACAACTAAGGGCAGTAGAATTGATCTATTTTCAGTCAGAATAAAAGAAAAAATTAGTGCAACATGGATTTCTTCCTGAGGTTATTGGTGGCACCAGTAATGTAGGGCAAACCGATAATTTGTGAAGTGAAGCCATAATTGCATTGAAGCCTTTTAATATTATCTTCCAACAATGTCTCCCCACACAGGTGGCCAACGTGTGGTACTCGGTACCTTCAATGGACACACGGGAGCTGTGCGGTGCGTCGCCTGTGATTGTATCCTTTGATGTCATTTAGCTTGGTATGCTGCCGTGTCTTCACCAGTGATGTCATAAGTTGATATCACTAATAAATAGCGATGTATTTCCTGTGTAGCACCAGAAAATATAACTAAAGTGAAGGTGAACTCAAACAATAAACGCAATAAACAAGGGAAGACTGGCGTACTGCAACAATGTTATGACATTAAAGGTTATGTTATCATGCAACTGCACAGTGTTGTGGAACCAATAAAAGCATAATAATTGTAACATTGTGATTGTCTGACAGTTATTGTACCAAGTAAATGTGTAATCATGACACAGTTGACCCTAGTGTACGCTCATGAATTGCTGCCACGATACAGGCTACGTTCCCTAACTGGCTCTTCTCAGGGGACACCAAAAATGTTTTGATGGGTTCAGCTGTCGCCTGTGGGACTGCGAGACTGCAAGACCTGTGGGTGAATAGAAAATGCATGTGATAGATGGAACTTTCTGAATCCCTTGGGAGTTCCAGCAGCAGTACAGCACCAATAGTTTGCACACAGTATTATAGAAATGGGTGTGACAAAAAATAAAACTACTACAGGTCCCTCCTGTTGGGGTCATCTGGGGAGGTGTTAACAGTCGTTAGGAGTCTGATGGCCGTTGTAATCCTCAGCAGAATGGTTTCACTTTGTGGGTGATAGATTGTGTATTAGCCCACCTCCTCTATTGAGTGAAAATTTTATGTCCAGTTGCCTAAAGGAAGTCTTCAACACAAAGTTATTGTTTTCCTTTTAACTCTTGGATTTGTTTATATATGTCTGGAATGTATGGAATTATGAGGTGACCCTCCAGTCATTTATGCTTGAGACCCCCGCTCCAAAGTAGAACAACAGATTTCTGTTGTTTACTAGTGAATGATAAAGGTGTTTGAAGATATTTATTGTTAGTTTGTAATACAAGTATGTATAAACTGAAGTAAACATTGACAATTTGTTGGGGGTTATAAGAAGATACACCAAAAAACCACACAGTAGTAGGTGAGGTTACTTTGAGTGTATCCACTTGTTCATTTATTTACAGTGACATTTTCCTTCAGTCTAGGCGTGTTGGTCAATCTGTCCATGCTACAGACCTCGTAATGTGAATCCGCTGACTTACATTCTTAAATAGACTTCAGAATATTTGAAGTACATCTTAGGAGAAAGGAGTGGTACAGTTTGAAATGAACTGACTGTTAAAAACCATAACAGGCAGTTAATTTCAAACTGTTACAAAGTGTTACCTTTTAATGTTAACAGATTGCAGACCAATAAAGCTGAGTGACTTGACTGTCTGTTTTTAAG